GACTTCGAGACGAAGTCTAAAATAAGTGGGGAGATTTGTAGCACCTGGTTTCTGGTATGTGAATTTTATTTGAGCATTGCCCTAATTTAGCCTTGGACTCGGCGAGTCATAGGGTCCGACTCGCCGAGTAGGGACGAGACTCAGGACACGTTTTAAGTAGGCGACTCGGCGAGTCCACATCCTGGACTCGGCGAGTCACCGCTGCGGATGAAACCCTAAGTTTCAAGGTTTGCCCTATTTAAACTCTCATTCCGCCCCAACTCGTCCCCATTCACCCCCAGAACTCCCCCTACATCGTTTTCCCTTGTTACCTTGAGAGTTTGAGGTGTTCTTGGTGTGTTCTTGAAGGTTTTGAAGAGTAAGAGGAGTAGATCAAGAAGAGGAGAAGGAGATCAGCCATCTTTGTGTCATTTCAACATTTCCTTTGAGGTATAACCCGTTTTCCCCTTGATTCTATGCTTAAAACTTCATTTGGGTCCTTCTTGGTCAATTCCCCAAGTTTGTATGTGCATTATATGTGGTAATAAGGCGTTTGGCCTTTGGATCTATGCAAGATCGAGCTCCAGGAGCTCAGATCTGTTAGCTTTTTGGCCGCATGAGGCTTGTTAGCCCTAGATCTACCCTCTTGAGACATTTTGAGCCCTATAATCCATGTTGGTGAATATCCACACGTAAAGTTGGAAACTTTACGTGTGATTCGTGTCCTAGAAGTCCAGATCTATGAATGGCATGGACTGGAATCGAGCAAATCGGTATATTTAAGGAGTGCATGGCGACGACTCGGCGAGTCGCATAGGTGACTCGGCGAGTCTGGTCGCAAGTCACCGATTTGGTCCCTTCTTCATGTGTCGAGTTGAGCCATGAGTCACAGGGGGTGACTCGGTGAGTTGGGAGCTGAACTCACCCATGTTAGGACTCAGCGAGTCAATGCCCTGACTCGGCGAGTCCAAGGCAATCTTCATAGATCAAGAACAGACTCGGCGAGTTGTTCATACAACTCGGCGAGTCTTAGCATAAAGTGTTCATCGGATGAAGATGAACTCGACGAGTTGTTCATACAACTCGGCGAGTAGGATGAAGGTGTTGAATGACAGTTAGAAGGTGAACTCGTCGAGTCATAGCCCGACTCGACGAGTAGAACCAGGGACCCAGGACATTGGTTTGCTAGGGACTCGGCGAGTGGTGATCCACTCGGCGAGTCGGGTCAACTGAAAGTTGACTCCAGCTTTGGCTTAGAGCTAATCCAGGGGTAAAATGGTCATTTTACCTAAAGGACAGTTAGCAGTGTTTGATTGAGTATGTCGTGGAAATTGCAGCCGGAGGACTCCCGGAGCAGCAGCAGCCAGTTAGTTCCCGATCAGTTCAGCAGCTACTTTGAGGTGAGTTACCTTCCAGTAGCAGTGGGTCTAAGGCCACAATGCCGACCCACCAGTAGGAGATGTATGATAGATGATTGTCTTTGTGACATCATCTAAGTTTGCTGCTACCTGATATGTTATATGCTAGCATGATATGTTGTATGTGATAGTAGTAGAGTTTGGTTGTTAGGACCAAAGGGTAGTCAGACCACCCAGATACGTCTGACAGTATGTGATGATATGTTTGCATGCTGGCTTGTTATGTTATATGTGATCGTAGTAGTAGGGGGGTGAAATAGTCCCCGAAGATCGGTTGTTAGGACCGATGGGTAGGTCAGCACCCCAGAATGGCTTGACATGGGTAGGTCGGCACCCCAGAATGGCCGTACCGGGTAGTCAGGCACCCCAGAATAGCCTGACAGTATGTATGTATGTGTTTGTATGGTATGCGGTACGTTAGGGGAACTCACTAAGCTTTGTGCTTACGTTTACAGTTTTGTTTTCAGGTACCTCTGCATCGAAGGGGAAGGAGCCGGCGCGGTAGCGGCACGTCATACACACACTCTTCGGTTTCCGCATTTATGAGATTTACAGGGATTGTACTCTGATATTTTGATGGGATGTACGGTTTGGCTTTTTAGAACATGGTTGCAATGTGTTATGGTGTGAACAAACAATGTTTTTATTTATTAATGTTTTCTAAAGTAATATCTTAAAAATGAAATTTCGGACGTAAAAATTGGGTCGTTACAATCAACCAACTGGATATGTGAAGAAGGGGGAAGAGTATAAAGTTTGTCACTTGAAAAAGGCCTTGTATGGTTTAAGGCAGGCACCCCGTGCCTGGTACAGTCGAATTGAAAAATACTTCCTTGAAAATGGCTTCAAGAAATGCCCCTTCAAGCATACCCTCTTTGTCAAAGAGGCTAATAAAAAAAAATCTTAATTATTTGTTTGTATGTTGATGATTTGGTTTTTACAGGAAACTCAGAGCAAATGGTTCATGAATTTAAGGAATCTATGAAAACAGAATTTGAAATGACTGACATGGGACTATTGCATTATTTCTTGGGAATAGAGGTAAAGCAAGAACAAAAAAGGATCTCAATCTCCCAACACAGGTATGCCAAGGAACTTCTTAAACGCTTCAACTTGGTGGTTCTTCACCTGTCTCTACACCAATGGAGTTTGGATCAAAATTCTCAAAAAAACACTTCCGAAGATGATGTGAATCCTAGTCTATATAGGAGTATGGTAGGCAGCCTTATGTATTTAACTGCAACAAGACCCGACATCATGTTTTCTGTAAGTGTTATTAGTCGCTTCATGGAGAATCCCAAGAAAAGTCATTGGGAAGCTGGTAAGCATATACTGCGTTACATTAATGTACTCTCAATCACGGGCTTATCTATACTAGAACTAAGGATGCAAGTTTGAGAGGTTTTAGCGACAGTGATTATGGTGGGTGTATAGATGATAGTAAAAGCACCACATGCTATGTTTTTAACCTTGGCTCTGGAGCCATATCATGGCAAACGAAAAAACAAAATGTAGTCGCCCTATCTTCTGCTGAGGCGGAGTACATTTCACTCTCAATGGCTGGCTGTCAAGCTTTATGGCTTAGGGGTATTTTGGTCACAATGGGAAAATACCAAATCAATGCAACAAAGCTTTTCTGTGATAACAAATCTGCCATAGCTCTGTCAAAAAACCCTGTATTCCATGGTAAAAGTAAGCATATTCGAATCAAATATCACTTCATTCGTGAACTTGTTGCAAACAAAGATGTGGAAGTTTGTTTTTGTGGAACAAAGGATCAGTTGGCAGATGTATTTACCAAGGCTTTGCAAGTGGGTAACTTCAATCGTTTGAAGAAGAATCTTGGAGTATCTGAAATCTAGCTTAAGAGGGAATGTTAGAATTAAGCTAGATACTTTGTAAATATTAGTTACTTGGTGTGTATGGTAAAAGCCGTTATCAGTTATGTAACCGTCCTAATGAATGGACGTGATGGTTAGGAATGTATAAATATGTAAACTCTGTGAATTAATAAAGCAGTTAATATTTAACGTATGATAAATCATCTTCTTCTTATTTATCCCTAATTTCTTCCAACAGTTTTGCTATAGTTTGCTTTGGTGCCTAGAAAACCACGAACAATAGAGTCTTAAACAAAAGTTGCACCGTGCTTCTTTGGTGACTGAAAACATGTTTTCTACAGTGTATCATTGGCTGAAATAAAGAGAAAATTTAAGAAGTTGTAATTAGGTTGATTGGTGTATCTCCCCCATTTTCTTGTAATTCCCTCTGTTGTACATTCTTTTTTGCCTGTTAGAAGTGGCTCTTTTTTTAACGTTATCGGTCGTTTCTAGTAATAATAATAATAATAATAATAATAATAATAATAATTTAGTTGTATGTTATTGATTGAATTTGCATTATTGAGCCAATTCATGCATCTCATGCCACCAAGAATATTACCTAGCTGCAGCTATTGGAACAAATAAATTTTCAAAAAGTATTATTATTTAGGTACCAACTGTTTTTAAATATATCTTAACTCACGGTCAACTAATTTCAATTATTCGGGTACATGTGCTTTTAGTATGGTAGAGTTTAAATCTCCGGTTATATAAACCGTTAAAAATCAGGTACCAACGACACCCACAATTAAAATGTTTGACGAACTGCCTTTCCATATCCAAGAGGAAATCCTGAAAACGCTTCCTATCAAATCATTGATTCAGTTCAGATCCGTTTCGAAAGCATGGAAGTCTTTGATCGACAGCTCAGAGTTTATTGCTGCCCACAGCGTCAGCCACACACAGCCACAACATCTGTTTGTATCGTACACAGATGAACAAGTGCCTAAATATGTTTCTTTTGTCGATGATGACTCTTTCCCCCAGCATAGGTTTGTTCCATCTCTTCCCCTGTCCATTAGAGATCCACGAATAGTCGGTAGTTCTTATGGCTTGTTGTGTTTCCAAGGTGATTCACCTTCCATCTATAGAAGGATGATTGCTGTTGTTTTGAATCCTTCCATTAGAAAATCAATAGCTATCGCACTGCCTGATATGTTATATACGAATCATTTAATCGTTCTTGGTTTTGGAGTTTGTCCTGTCACCATTGATACCAAGATCATCCAGATCACTCAATTGCGTTGGGGAGTGAACGGAAAAGCGAAATTGGCAACTTTTGGGAAGTTAAGGTTTATAAGCAAAGTTCGGGGAAATTTACAAGTCTATCTGGCAATCTCCCCAGCATATCAATACATATTATGGGCCCCAGGTAGTTATTGGTAAGTCTATCTACTGGTGTGCTGTAGATTGTACAACTGTGGATAGTGTGTTTAAAACTCGTAATCTGATTATGTCATTTGATATAACTAATGAGAAGTTTGAAGTAGTAGTCCTCCCTGAAAGGTTGGCTATCATCACTTTCTCCCTACTTTCTGTATCTAAGCTAAGGGAGTCTCTTGTTATACTTGAATACAATAAAAGCGGATACAATGATACCATTGAGGAGCAAGTTTGTTGTACTGTATGGATGGTGGAGCGTGGTGTAGAAAGATCGTTTACTAAGCTATTCAATATCAAGGCACCAGGTGACTTGATGAGGGCAGTGGGTTTTAGGAGGAAGGGCGGACCTATTATGGAAGTCCAAGATTATACCTTTGAATCAACTGAAGAGCTTGTTGTTTATGAGCCTAACTCAGAACTAAGCAATCATCTCATTAGTGGGTATAGATTCACAGTGAATTCCTACATTGAAACACTAGTTTTGGTCGGTGGTTCTGATTGTAGTAGCTATTGACATAACGATTTCAAGGCCAATATCTGTAAATTAGTTGAAGTTTTCTAAAACATAGATGCATCACATATAAGTTGATGTCTGTTTAACTGTTTATTCAATGCTTGTAACATTACTGATGCTATATAAATCTCACATTTTTATGAAAATTGTGTAGTAAAATCTTGGTGTTAGTCTTATTGTATATGTTTAGTAAATAACCTCGGGCTGTTGGCCTATTGAGAGGCTTGTGACCTTGGTAGTTGGTTGTTGGGAATTACGAATTGGGTAATACGAAATCCGGATCATAAACAGGAATCGTGTGATACACTTTCCTTGTTTTATATTTCATCCCTAATTGCCTAGGGTATCACGAAATCCAAACTAAGATAATTCCTAAAGAAACGATTCTGATTTTAAGCACAAAACACAGAATTAATTTTGAGAGAGAATGAAGAAGAAATCGTTTTTCAGTTTTCTGTGTTTCAACCAAGTCGTTATCTTTCCCGGACTTATCTACTCAACGGATAAAACAAGAATAATTTTCAACTTTCAGAAAATACGAATTAAACCTTGTATTTTCATCTTTAAAGAACAATAAATTAATCCTTGTACTAACAATGTTTAATAAATACAAGTGTTGACTCTCACACCTCCTAACTTGTATTATAACTAAAACATTTGTTAAATCCATTACACTAAAATATATTTGGTAATTAAATCACCGACAGTTCCTGCCATTGGTGCTTTAACAAAACTAATAATCGATATATTTTTTTCACATTGTGTTGCAACTATTCTTTTGCTCAATTTGCAAAAATAAAAATGACCATGATATCATAATCGTATGAGGGAGTTCAAACTGGTAACTCTCTCTGCTTTTTGTTTTATGGCACTACAATTAGTATATGTTCGATTATATTTGGTTGTTATTCATAGGCTAATAACTCACTACAAGAAATATATCCTTTAGCGGCGACACCTTTAGCGGCGACTATGGGCTTTACCGGCGACTATAGCTATAGTCGCCGGTAAAGCCCATAGTCGCCGCTAAAGGTGTCGCCGCTAAAGAGTTGTCACCCGAATCCGCACTTTCCCCCTACATTGCATCTCAACCGTTCGATGAGATATCCAATCCAACGGGTGGGGTGCCTTATCCGGTCTAACCTAATACCGGCGACACGCATGTCGCCGCTAAAACCCTAAAAAAGTCGCCGCTAATTGTATGCTAAAAATGACGCGGTACCCTTCCCTCCAGTTTGTCGCCGCTATTAACAAATGTCGCCGGTATTGATCTGCGTCGCCGCTAAAGGTGTCGCCGCTATTGATGATCCCAGATAAAAAAAAAAACGCACGCAGATTACAGCCTTCTTCATTTCCCTTTCTCCCTTTCTGTTTGCTTTGAGCTCCTTCACCATTTTTCCGATTTCTTCTTCAATCTCCTTCTTTCTAGCAAATTTCTCCCCTCATTGTTCCAAGCAAGTGTCCCTAGGTGTGGTTAAAGGTTTGGGATCAATTTCTACCTCCATTTCTTGAAAAAGGTAAGTTTTATTTTGATGATTTCATTTTTGTGTTGTATGAATGATAATAAATTGCTCATGTTCTCTATTTGGTGGTGTTGTTTTGGGTTAGAAGCATTGTTCCAAGCAAGTGGTTAAAGCTTTGGGATCAATTTCATTTGTTGAAGAAAGGTATGTTTTTTTTTTTATGATTTCTTTTTTATTTTGTATGAATTTTGATTTGTAGCTTTATGTAGTGATTGAATGATAATAAATTGTTCAATGTTTGTTTTTGGTGGTATTGTTTTGGATTAGAAGCAAGTTATTCAATTTTTTGTTTGTGGTTATTTAATTGCAATTAGTTGTATAGCTTCAAGTTGTATTTATATGTGAAATTATGTGATAATTGTCATATGTGAAAATTGGATTGTATATTTTGTATTTGTTTGAATATATGTGAATTTGGTATATATATTCCAATGTATGTGTGTTTGATGTATATGTGGTATATTAGTAGAAGTTATATGTATTTGTTATAAGTAGAATGTTATTGTGTGTATGTGAATGTATGTATGTTTGTTGTAAATGTGATATATGATTGTGAAACTTTTGTATTTGGTATAAATAGGATGTTATTATGTATATATGTGAAATTATGTGTATTTGGTTTAAATAGGATGTTATTTTGTGTGTATTTGTATTTGATGTATATGTGGTATATGTATGTAAAAGTATGTGAATTTCACCTTCTTATGTATTATGTAAAACTATGTGGTTTTGGTATAAGTAGGATGCTATAATTGAAATAAAAAAAAAATACATTATTTTTATAAATTGAAAAAAAAAAACACAAAAAAAAACTATAAAATTGTTTAAAAACTTATATACAAAAACTAGAAAGCTTCTAGTTTTTACCCAAGCTAACTCCAAATTAATTAACCAATAAGTTATATAGTTAACTTATAATTGGAAAAAAAACACAAAAATAATTATAAAATTCTTTAAAAACTTATATATATTTTAATCTCGACGGTAAAAAAAACAACACAACAACATAATACGTATGTAAAAGTATGTCGTTTTCTTATAAGTAGGATGCTATAATTGAAAAAAAAATACATTATTTTTATAAATTGTAAAAAAAAACACAAAAAAAAACTATAAAATTGTTTAAAAACTTATATACAAAAACTAGAAAGCTTCTAGTTTTTACCCAAGCTAACTCCAAATTAATTAACCAATAAGTTATATAGTTAACTTATAATTGGAAAAAAAAACACAAAAAAAATTATAAAAATCTTTAAAAACTTATATACATTTTAATTGCAAAAAAAAATACATTATTTTTATAAATTGAAAAAAACACAAAAAAATATAAAATTGTTTAAAAACTTAGCTTCTAGTTTTTACCCAAGCTAACTCCAAATTAATTAACCAATAAGTTATATAGTTAACTTATAATTGGAAAAAAAAAACACAAAAAAAATTATAAAAATCTTTAAAAACTTATATACATTTTAATTGAAAAAAAAAATACATTATTTTTATAAATTGAAAAAAAAAACACAAAAAAAAACTATAAAATTGTTTAAAAACTTATATACAAAAACTAGAAAGCTTCTAGTTTTTACCCAAGCTAACTTACAAGTAATTTTAATTAAAATTAATTAAAAAATGCATAAATAAAAATTTTTAAATTATTTTTTTCATTTCTTTATTACTTAATTTTTGTATTATTTTAGATGTAAAAAAATGTGGATTGAAAAAAAACAATGCTAATTCTGTATACTAAACTCTAAACCCAAAATTATGTTTCAGCAACATCATGTCTATTGATAAAAGCTGGACTACTAATCCATATCGAAACCATCCCGAGTTCCAAGCAGGACTCAAAGCTTTTATTGAGAAGTCGAAGTTGCACGTTGATAGTAATGGTAAAATCAGATGTGCGTGTGAAAAATGTGATAACCGTTACTTCAAGTACCCGACTGTAGTTGAACGCCATATATTTATAAATGGTTTCAGTAAGGCGTACAAAATTTGGATCTATCATGGTGAATCTTTTATTCCTCCCGTCGTTTTGCCAAGTAACGAAATGGCCGATTTAATCGACGATGTGATGTGGGAGTCGAGAGAAAATGATACCAACCTCGATGAAGGAACCTCGAATACAAGGGGTAGCGGTGTGGATGATGATTTTGCACAGTTGTTGGAGGAAATGGAAACTCAATTGTATACTGGTTGCATCTTTTCTTCCCTTGAGTTTCTAGCAAAGTTAATGCATATCAAGGTGAACAACAAATGGACTGATAGTTCATTTGATCAACTCCTTGAGCTCTTGCAATTAGCATTTCCCAAAGGCAACAAGGTTCCCCTTTCACATTATCTAGCCAAGAAGAAACTAAAGTCTATTGGCCTGGGGTATGAGTCGATACATGTGTGTAAAAACGATTGTTGTCTCTTTTGGAAAGAACATGATTCATTGCAAGTTTGTCCCGTTTGTAAAGAGAGCCGATGGATCGATAAAAACACCAAGGGTAAGAAAGTACCTCATAAGGTGTTACGGTACTTTCCTGTGACCCCTAGACTACGACGTTTATATTGTTCGAGGCACACTGCCAAAAATATGATTTGGCATAGTACCAGACGTTCAGAAGATGGTGTGATGATTCATCCTGTTGATGGGGAACATTGGCAAGATTTTGATAAAAAATACCCCGACTTCTCGAGTGAACCCCGTAACGTACGCCTAGGTCTTTCAGCTGACGGTTTCAATCCATTTGGAAACATGTGTAATCCACATAGCACATGGCCGGTCATACTCACCACATACAATCTGCCACCCTGGCTTTGTATGAAAGAGTCATCATTCATGTTGACTTTGTTGATTCCAGGACCGAAAGCTCCAGGTAAGGATATGGATGTTTTCCTTAGACCGTTGGTGGAAGAGCTTAAACATTTGTGGAACTCAGGCGTACGTATTAAAGATGCGGCGACAAACACATTCTTCACGATGAGAGCTATGTTGTTGTGGACAATAAACGATTGGCCAGCTCGTAGTAGTTTATCGGGTTGGAGTGGGCAAGGGTATAGAGCATGTGCTACTTGCAATGAAGACACTCCTTCGTACCGTGCAACAAACAAAGTCGTATACATCGGTCATCGTCGTTTCCTAGATGCTAATGATCCGTTAAGAAAGAGGTTGGACTTTAATGGGATGGAAGAGACAAGACCCGCTCCGAGACACTTTAATAATGATGACATACAAGAGCAACTAGGTCGTCTACTAACTCGTAAACCGGGTAAACATCCTGAGCATGGAGGCGGGGAGCCAAAGCGGCAAGATTATGAGTTGAACTGGTCGAAGCGAAGCATTTTCTTTGAACTAGAGTATTGGTCTTCTCTACAGTTGAAACACAACATAGATGTCATGCATGTCCAAAAAATGTGGATGAGAGTTTGTTAGGTACTCTCCTAATGAACGATAAAAGCAAAGACACATCAAATGCACGAGAGGACTTGAGA